AGTCGATTTGCAATTGGTGCATTCCATGAATGGCCTGCAGCAATCCCATTTGACCTCTTCATTATGCAGACACAGCTGCCTTGTGTTTTAATGCGACACTGCACAAGGTAGCAACAAGATGTGTAGTAATCAATAACGTGTAGTCTGAATGAACTATAGAGGAGTTGGATGATCCGCTGGATAAATGGTGCCAATTCAGATCTGCTGGGTGTTGGGAGGCCAGCATTGACACCGCTATCAAAGCGATACACTGTTCAAGCAATACAGAAAAATATCAGCAGACCCACAAGTGAAACCGGCTGCAAGTGTGGTTATTGTGACTTTATTCAATAATAACTAAGAAGGTTACGATAGAACTGGAGTACTTGTTCAGGAATACTATGACTATTACATCTCTCTTATTCTTCTTTACTAAAATAAGTCTGAGAAACCATTCACAAGGCAGGGCTTTATACATATAGTTAGAAATAGGATGTATAGTTTGGGAAAGAAAACATAGGAAAAATCTCAATCATACATCTTGGTTTCATTTCATGGTTTCAGAAATGATTGTGACGAACGATTGATATCTAAGAACAATGATGCTGTTAATTTCTACTCTAAGACACTGTCATTTCTGAATGATAGACAACTTGAGTGTCCGTGTGGGCTTTGCAGAATCCTGGGAGCGTTACTGTTTATTTTTTCAAATTTCCCATTTCAAGTTTCAGTTTTTAGTTTACACTTTTGAGTTTACGGATTCCAGTTTCTAGTTTCAAATGAATGCCCCAAAAATTCAGACTTTCAGTGAGCAAATTCCTCAAAAATTCAGACTTTCAGTGAATGCCTTGAATGAAAGCCTGAAAATTCAGAATGCTTTGAGTGAATACCTTGAATTAATGACTTGAAAATTCAGACTTCCTTAGACAAGGAGTGAAACTTCATTTTATCGTCACAGTTCGGTATTGCTTAGAAACATCTGGAATCACCTATTTTGGGAAAACAATTGAAATGTCAAGATATCTGCGATCTATTGTTTTTTTAATCCATTTTTTGGGAAAAATAGTTGATTCTTTGTTTTCCCTTAAAACTTCACTGATTTTCATCAACTGAACAAAACTAACCTCTTTTGATGCAGTGTATATATGTATTTAAGAATGTAAGAAATCTCCAATTTCTCACAAGGATTCCAATTAGGCTTGTAGTAAACAAGCCTGACATAAATGGAATGTAGTGGCCAAGCAAAGTAAACTTTCACTAGTGTCTGTAGTGTATGTTGAGGGTCCAGCTTTTGGCAAGCATGTGGAAACAACAATGTTGCAGTTAATACAAACACTTGGCCAGAGACTTAACCTCCAGCATAGCTTTGTATACATGCGACCTTGCCTCCACGTACATGTATTTCAAATCACTTAAACACAACGTTTACCACTGTTTTTACCTCTGTGCAAAACGTTGATACTTATAAATATTACTGGTGCACTCAAGAAAATGTCAACTAAAACTTCGAGCTTGTTTGGAAGACTGACACGTACCTTATAGTTGAAATCAGAGTTACAAATTCATTTATTGTGATGATTATGTCCTCTTCAGAGTTTGATTCACAAAAAGTCTCAACCCTGTGTTTCTTCAGCATGTTACCATGCAGCTGGCGGCCAATGCTGCAGGCACGATGATTGATTTTGGAGTAAATCAAAATTATGTTATGCAAAAAAAGGAAACAAACAATCTATTTCAGCTACATTAGCAATTGTTATAAGCCATTTTTCTAAGCCATGACGTTCATGCATTGATCTTTGTCATGGATTTTTAATAAAGTACGTATTTTGAGCAATTTAGGTATTCTATCAGCAACATCACTGGGCACAACACAGAGCACAAAAAAGTCGATATTGCCAGCATAATTAATTCAGCCTTATAGTGGCAGACTATTGAAATTCAGAGTGGGAGTGAATAACGAGAAAATTCAGTCTTTGATCGAATGAATAACTTGAGAATTCAGATTTGGAGTCAATAATGCAAAAATTCAGACTTATGTGAATTATTCTAAAAGTCAGATGTTGAGAGAGTTTTTCAAGTAATTCAGTCTTTTCACTTTCCTTTATAGTGAATTAGCAACCCGTTTTGCTTGGTTGGTGTCCCAGCCATTTGTACTTGAGCCATCTGAGGGAACTCTTGCGCCTAAAGCCAAATGTACCATCCTGGCTACATTCAAGCCGATGTCTGCCTTGGTTTATGAAACAGTAGCTGAATGTCGATATGGGGAAGATTTGTCACACAAGAAGACTCTTAGATTGGAGGGTATTGGTGAGTATAAATATTTCAGACTTACCTTATGGCCAATTTGACAGTCAGGGTTCAAAATTAATTTCAACAGCATGTCATAACAGGAAGTAGGCAATTTGTTTCTAGTTGTGGGACCCCCTCAAGAAGCTACCTGATAATTTTCAGAAATATTGTTATGCTCTTATAGAACAAGAATATAAATTTTGCCAGAGATGAAAGTTGCACACTAATGAGTATTTATTAATTAACTTTTCACTTCTAAAAAAAGCAGACGAGGTGTATACAAAACCGATGGGAAATTGATTTGTTCACAAAACAAATGGCAGAGGGATAATATTGGGCTTCAAGTTTAGTAAAAAATGGCTGCTTTCATGGATGGATGACTTTTTGCCCTCTTGATTATTCTTTACTAAATATCAATTTGATAGAGATTTCCATACATGTAGCTTACTTGCATGTGTTCCATTTGCTTTTTAAATGTGTTGAGAACAGAGACAAGTCTTGAAATTTTCCGCATCAGAGTAATCCTCAAAGTAAAGTAAATGAGACTTTTTCGACAAAATACAAATCAATTAC